GCTCTGAGCCGTCCGGCGTCTGTTATCATGAGTTTAGGAGGAAGAGTCCGTATAATAATAATTGTGCTAATGATGTACTCAAATCATGTGTGTGTGTGTGTGTTCAGGGCTGTGTTTGGAGAAGCGTGTGTTCTACCGTCTGATCTCCGGCCTCCACAGCAGCATCAACATCCACCTGTGCGCTGAATACCTGCTGGACGGTGAACACACACATTTATCACACACACTCTTTACCAACGAATCGAAATCCAGAACTGGCATTCCACTCTAACTTTGGTTACTGTAGTGTTTTTCATATGGATGCAGTGTGTGTGTGTGTGTGTATGTGACGGTGTGTGTGTGTGTGTGTGTGTATGTGACGGTGTGTGTGTGTGTTCCTCAGAGGGCTGGGGCCTGCTGGTGTGTGTGTGTGTGTGTATGTGACGGTGTGTGTGTATTCCTCAGAGGGCTGGGGCCGGCTGGTGTGTGTGTGTGTGTGTGTATGTGACGGTGTGTGTGTGTTCCTCAGAGGGCTGGGGCCGGCTGGTGTGTGTGTGTGTGTGTATGTGACGGTGTGTGTGTGTTCCTCAGAGGGCTGGGGCCGGCTGGTGTGTGTGTGTGTGTGTGTGTGTATGTGACGGTGTGTGTATTCCTCAGAGGGCTGGGGCCGGCCGGTGTGGGGTCCAAACCTGCAGGAGTTCCGCCAGCGCTTCGACCCGGCCGAGACCAAGGGCGAGGGAACGCGCCGCCTGAAGAACCTGTACTTCCTGTACCTGATCGAGCTGCGCGCGCTCACTAAAGTGTCCCTGTACTTTGAGCGCTCCTTCATTAACCTGTACACGGGGAACAGCGACGAGGACTCGGCCACCAAAGCCCTGCTTCTCCAGATCCTCAACGTCACCAAGTGAGACCCGACACCCGACACCTCACACCCAACACCCGACACCTCACACCCAACACCTGACACCCGACACCTCACACCTGACACCTCACACCCGACACCTCACACCCGACACCTCACACCCGACACCTCACACCCGACACCTCACACCTCACACCCGACACCTCACACCCAACACCTGACACCCGACACCTCACACCCGACACCTCACACCCGACACCTCACACCCGACACCTCACACCCGACACCTCACACCCGACACCTCACACCCGACACCTCACACCCGACACCTCACACCCGACACCTCACACCCGACACCTCACACCCGACACCTCACACCCGACACCTCACACCTCACACCCGACACCTCACACCCGACACCTCACACTCGACACCTCACACCCGACACCTCACACCCGACACCTCACACCCGACACCTCACACCCGACACCTCACACCCGACACCTCACACCTCACACCCAACACCCGACACCTCACACCCGACACCTCACACCCGACACCCGACACCTCACACCCGACACCTGACACCCGACACCTCACACCCGACACCTCACACCCGACACCTCACACCCGACACCTCACACCCGACACCTCACACCCAACACCCGACACCTCACACCCGACACCTCACACCCGACACCTCACACCTGACACCCGACACCTCACACCCGACACCTCACACCTCACACCCGACACCTCACACCCAACACCTGACACCCGACACCTCACACCTGACACCTCACACCCGACACCTCACACCCGACACCTCACACCCAACACCCGACACCTCACACCCGACACCTCACACCCAACACCCGACACCTCACACCCAACACCTGACACCCGACACCTCACACCCGACACCTCACACCCGACACCTCACACCCGACACCTCACACCTCACACCCAACACCCGACACCTCACACCCGACACCTCACACCCGACACCCGACACCTCACACCCAACACCTGACACCCGACACCTCACACCCGACACCTCACACCCGACACCTCACACCCGACACCTCACACCCGACACCTCACACCCGACACCTCACACCCGACACCTCACACCCGACACCTCACACCTCACACCCAACACCCGACACCTCACACCCGACACCTCACACCCAACACCTGACACCCGACACCTCACACCTGACACCCGACACCTCACACCTCACACCCGACACCTCACACCTCACACCCGACACCTCACACCCGACACCTCACACCCAACACCTGACACCCGACACCTCACACCCGACACCTCACACCCGACACCTCACACCCGACACCTCACACCCGACACCTCACACCCGACACCTCACACCCGACACCTCACACCCAACACCCAACACCTGACACCCGACACCTGACACCCGACACCTCACACCCGACACCTCACACCCGACACCTCACACCCGACACCTCACACCCGACACCTCACACCCGACACCTCACACCTCACACCCGACACCTCACACCCGACACCTGACACCCGACACCTCACACCCGACACCTCACACCCGACACCTCACACCCGACACCTCACACCTCACACCCGACACCTCACACCCAACACCTGACACCCAACACCCGACACCCGACACCTCACACTCGACACCCCACACCCCACACCTGACATTAGTTTCACCTTTTAAGTTGAATTACTGAAATAAATGGACTTTTGCACCATATTCAAATTTTTCGAGTTTCACCTGTAAATATTGACACTTCAATAAATTAATTTATAGTCACATTGCAGGATTATTAAAACAAACTGCAGTCTCTATTATACATTCATATACACTTGATTATGGGTTCATGGACGTGTTATTAGCTGTGTGTGTGTGTGTGTGTGTGTGTTGCAGAGCATTCCCCATGCACTTTGACGAGAGCTCCATGTTTGCTGGACATAAAATGGAGGCGAAGACATTAAAGGTGAGTGACCGGCGAGCAGAGACCCCGGATGTATGTTATTCAGGGTTATTCAGTCTTAAAGTGACGGCAGCCTCATATCTGACTGTGTCATTAATGCTCATAAACCATTAAAAACAGATTTAACTGCGATTTGTACAGTGAACAAATACTGTTATTAAACATTTAGGCTCAATTATTCATTTCTGTGCCTGATACACTACTGTTAGACTTTGTTAGTTTATTATTTAGTATGTCTTGTAATTAATCTCGCTTGTTCTTATTTTGTCACTGACTGACTGTTCACTTGTTTCAATGATGTGTAAACTCCCCATATATATATATATATGGGAGAGACGGGTCGCTGTGAGCTAATATATATATATATTAGTTTATTTTATCTGAAGAATGATCCGCAGCTGATCCGTTCCACCGCTAGATGTCTGTAAACTAACTGTTGTGTTTCACGGCAGATCGCCAGTGTGTGCGCGTGTGTGTGTGTGTCGCTCAGTAAACGAGCGCTGTCACTCATGTCTCTGCAGGAGGAGTTCAGGCTGCACTTCAAGAACATCTCCCGCATCATGGACTGCGTCGGCTGCAGCAAGTGCCGGCTCTGGGGGAAACTGCAGGTAACGAGTGCTCTCCGTCAGGGTGGGTGATGATGTCAGAGGGGTCCTGATGATGTCGGAGGAGTTCTGATGATGTCATGAAACGAGACTAACTCGCACACACACTGTTCCCACAGACGCAGGGTTTGGGGACGGCGCTCAGGATCCTGTTCTCTGAGAGAGAGATCAAAGACCTCCCGGAGAACAGTCCGTCGAGCGGCTTCCAGCTGACGCGGCAGGAGATCGTGGCGCTGATCAACGGCTTCGCCAGGTGACGCCCGAGGAACTGATGACCCGTGCACAGTCACGCTAGGAGTGTGTGTTAAAGGGGTCGTCGATGCCCAGTGTCCACAAGTTGTGTGATTGTTTAGGGTCTTCATGTGAAGTTTGTAACATACTTTAGTTCAGATTCCTCAATGTTTGTGTAAAACAACACACTCTTTACCTCCTCACACACAGCTGTGCTCACAGCGACCCGTCTCTTTAAATGAGAACGAGCCACTGCTCCCCCAGGGGGCGTGTCCACACTACAGAGAGATCAGATTACCATCCAATCACCAAACACTTGATTACTGAGAGTCTTTAGACTTTATGAGGATTAAAAAAAGGAGTGAATGAGTTTTTCTTCATTGTATGGTGGTTGTGTCCACACACACACACACACACACACACACACACACATCTATATACACACACCTATAAAAGTGAGTTTTGCATCCGATGACCCCTTTAACATAAAAGTACCCAAATATTTCTGAAATGAAGCAGGAAAGTGATGCTCTCTCTCTCTCTCTCTCTCTCTCTCTCTCTCTCTCTCTCTCTCAGATTGTCCACGAGTATAAAAGAGTTGCACAACTTCCGCACTCTCCTGAAGGACCACAGGTGACCCCAGTGACCCCAGTGCCTGCTGTAGTGCGGTCAGGCCAGCGCGACCCATCTCAGGGACCGGCAGAACTCCTCTCGACCCGATCTCAGTGCGACTCACAGGAACTCTTCAAGCTCTTTATCCTCCTCTGCATGTTCAAGACTGTGTGTGTGTGTGTGTGTGCGCGCGAGTGTGTGTGTATACTTCCTTGTGTTCCTCTGTCGACTGCGGTGTGTGTGTGTATTCCTGCTGAATACTGTAATCTCATTACTTTTAAATCTCTTATTAATCCAGTGAAGAAGATCATGTCCAGGTCACATTTACCTCAAAATCAGAAATAATTATGAATACACGATCAGTCAAAGTCTGGGGTCGGGAAGATTTCTAATGTTAATTCAGTTTAAACAGTAAAACAGTGTAATATTTATTTATTACTCCAGTCTTCAGTGTCACATGACCCTTCACAAATCACTCTAATATGAGGATCTGATGATCAACACACAGTTATGATTATTATCATAAATAATGGAGGAATATTACACTGTTTTACTATATTTTTGTTTTTAGTTGTAATTAAATAAACACAGTCTTTAGAGCAGAAGAGACTTTTAAAAACATTGAAACTCACCGATCCCAAACCTGTGTGTGTGTGTGTGTGTGTGTGTGTTCTGCTGATTCTGAGGGGATTATGGCCTGACGAACTCTCGACTGTGTGTGTGTGTGTGTGTGTGTGTGTGTGTGTAAGGACATTCCTCATCTCAAGTGAAGATGTTTTGTTTTTAGGACCATGGAAATTAATTTAATGAGCTTTAAAGAGGAAACTGCGGCGTATTGTTACACATTTAAGCGACTGATAACAAGCAATAATGTTCCTCCAGCGAGTCCAGATTCCTTATATTTTTTTAATTATCATTAATTATAAAATGATTTTTTGCAATGCAATATGAGTTTCAAGGAGAAATAGACTCAGATGAAGATCTCGGCGTAGAGTCGCTGTTTCATCATCTTTTACACACACACACACACATGCACTCACACACACACACACACACACTCACACACACACACACACACACATCTGAGCCGAAGCTCCTGTGTGTTTCACTTCTCCTCAATCTGGAAGTTTGGCCTTCCTCATGGACTCTGGAGGAATAATTTAGTGTAGAGATGGAAGATTAGATGAAGAGCAGCTATCTGTGTGTGTGTGTGTGTGTGTGTGTGTGTGTGTGTTCCACTTGTCTGCCTTAATATTTCTGAATGACAGTATAATACTGTAAATATGCTGAAGCTCCTCTGCCTTTCTGATGTTGATCATGTTCATGCTGTGATTAAAGCAGGTTAAGTTGCTTCTGTAATGTGTGTGTGTGTGTGTGTGTGTGTGTGTGTGTGTGTGTGTGTGTGTGTGTGTGTGTGTGTGTGTGTGTGTGTGTGTGTGTGTGTGTGTGTGTGTGTGTGTGTGTGTGTGTGTGTGTGTGTGTGTGTGTGTGTGTGTGTGTGTGTGTGTGAGAGAGGAGTATTTATTAAACAGGAATAAATGGATCTGGTTTCCTCAGATGATGATGATGGTGGTCGTCGTCGTCTTTGTGTGTGAGTGAGAACACACTATTTTTTCAACAGCACATTTATTTTCTGTGGATGGTGAGGAAACACTCTTATTACAAATCAACAAATGAGAATCACAATCTCCACACGACCAGTCAAATACACTGCTTATCATCACACACGTGTGTGTGTGTGTGTGTGTGTGTTTCAGGGAAATGCTTAAAGTAACATAAATTCATGCCGTACACACATTATCTCATCAGCCTAATCATAACTCCTCTATCAGCATCACAAAATAGAGTGTGTGTGTGTGTGTGTGTGAATGAACAGGCTGTGTTCAGAATGTGTGTATCAACACACTCTGTTTCTGCAGTGTGTGTGTGTGTGTTTTCAGAACGCCAGGATTTTCAACTATACATTTGTTCCATTGAGCAATATGCACTGGGTTACCGTCTCCCACAATGCAATGCGCTGTGAGTCTCTGCTCATCTGATATAACCATAGACTGTGGATATAACGCGTGATTCACTGGCAGATTCCGATCTTTACAATAGAAGTGAATCGAACTAACTCTATTATCTGTAGTGTAGAGCTGCTGGTCCCGTCATCTCCAGCGCGGTGTGTTGATGCTTCACTCTGAACACAGCCTCGTTTAGAACCTCGTTACTCTGATTGTGGTCGCCATGGTGACATGCATTACTCTGGAGTCAGTTGCCATGGAAACTCGCAGTCGTTGCGCTGACGTATTGTGCTTCCAGCGGCTCGTGTGTGTGTTTGTGGATGATGTCAGAGGTTTAAAGTGCGGTGCGTGTCCGGTTTACACAGCTGGACGGCTAGCATCAGCGAACACTTTAGCGGTTTAGCGCTGCTGTTGCCGCGGGCGACCGCTGATCGTCTCCTCCCAGATGGACCAGGAAACTGTTGCTACTCCAGTCCGTCGACAAACTGGATGGAGAGAAACTCGGGTCAGGCTTCCTCAATCATGCGCATCACACACACACACACACACACACACACATACATATACTGTAGTTTATTTTGTAACTTCAAGTCATCGGATTCAAATTGATTAATTCAGGTGTGCCTGACCTCAGTAGTCATGGCAACAATAATCAGACACACCTGAATTAATCAATTTGGCCAATAATGGCAGACAGGAAACAAGGAGCTGGCTGAAGTTCAGGCAGTAGTGCAGCTGGGCATAAAGCCAATTTTATGATCTCATTTTTAGTAAGGTTCATTGATTTATTATGATAAAAGCAACTACGCGGACAGTCAGCATCAAAGTTTGTCTATTTTTTTATGTTACCACAGTAAAACCGGATTAATCAGAAATCGCATTTAAGTCAAAAGAAAATGTCAAAAGATTCTGAAAGTTTTTTTTTTTTTTAAATGATTTTATTCTAACAAAATAGTGACTATGCTATGAAAAATGTGCTTTTATGACATGCAGGTAATAAACAAATCTCATCTGTTTTAGTAACTGTATTTATTATGATTTTATCATTACTTTTTTGAATTTGAAAATATTATTATTATTATTGAATTAACTCTTATAATATATATCTATATATATATATATATTTCCCTGTCTTTACTGGGGCTTTTCTTATTTTTTCAGTTTTAATAATTGTATTAGTTCTTGTTAATTTGATGGCTCCAGT